TTAACCCAGGGGAACTTGGCTAGCTCGGCCCTTCCGGTGGCAAAGCGTCACACCCGACACTCGTTACCGGCACTGGGCTGAGTGGGCATCTGCAGTGTCCTAACCGGGCCACAAGGCTCTGACCCTAGGGTCACAGCCAGGATGGTGACAAATGACATGGCAGCGACGACACAGCCCACTCAGCTCCTCTCCGCTCCACCCCCACGGAGTCAGGAGGGGCTGACCAGAGTGGTACCTGGGGCATCTCTGTCTGAAGCAGCGCTTCCCCAGGACGACAAGGGGCGATCCGGGAAGAGCTCCCCTTGCGCCCGCTCAGCGATCTTGTGGGCAGAGAGGGCGTCGCGGAGATGTTCTCGCCAGGCCAGCGTGGTGCACAGCAGACACAGGGTCTTCCCTGTGCCCGTGGGGCTCTCCAGGACTCCGTTCACTTTCTGAGGAGGGGGAACAGGGTCATGGGGTGAGGTGCAGCGGGCCACCCAGCCCACCTGAGAGAAGCCCACCAGGTGGCAAAAGCCCTAAGAGACGTAGATCACTCCACAGGATGACCTTGGCTCTCCAACCCAAAGCTGTGGCTAATTCAGCGCTTTTTAGCAAACAGTTTGCAAAGTGTTTTGCAGCCTCGTATAAACAGTAAGATGACTGATTAAGTATCGAGTCTGATTCTGTGTCCAGGCTGTCACACTCTGGATGGAACCCGATGGCCCTCAGACGTGAGCCTGAGTGGGACACTCTGCAAAGCTGCACTGCCGGCTGCCGGAGTCTGCGCACGCAACGGCAGCCACCAGCCCCGCTGCACTCGGCCCTCGGGGGCTGGCGCCTGAGCAGGGTACCAGAGGGAGAGCTAAGAAACCCAGCAGAGAGCAGCGAATGGCACCTCTGCCACCTTCCTGCACTCCCTGGGGTCTAAAGACTTTCCAAATGAGGGCTGGCAACGGCTGTCCCTCGTGTGGAAATACGACCTCCACATCTTCAAAGGAATGGCTGTTTCTTGTCACTTGGCCTCAGCTCAAATGCCACCTCCTCAGAGTCCCCAAGGTGCTCCGAGCCTATCACCTTACATCTTTTCTTCCCAGCACTAACCACCACCTAAAACTATCTTTTCTTATTTACTTATCGCCTCTAACATCAGCACTATTTCTGACTGAACCCATGTCCAGAAGGGTACCTCTGACCCAGTGGGACCTGGGCAGAGTGAACAGGAAGGTGGAAGTATGTCGGCTCTTTGCTGGAGCTCCACCCACACTGACCCATGCCCGACGTTCAAAGCCCATGGTCTGCGGCTTTACCTTCTGCAGACACTCCAGAACCTTGGCCATGTACTCCTCTTGGCATTTGTACGGCTGGAAAGGGAAATCCACTGTCACACCGTTCAGGGTTATCTTGGGCATGCTGGCCTGTTCTCGGGAGGGCACAGAAGTTGGCTGAAACGCAGCTGTGTGGGTCTGGGACAAAGACCCCTCTGAACATCTCAGGGTCTCAGGGGAATGATGCCAGCCGTGGTGCTGGGACACGACACTTCTCCACAGGAACCCCTACGACATGGAAACCAGGACAACGACAACAGTTCGTGCCAGGCCACTTCATCAGTCAACTCAGGCAGCCCCTCCCATGGGCAAAGTCAAAGGCAAGCCTGTGCGCCCCATCACAAGGAGCTCGGGGAGGCGACGCCCAGCATCAGCCCTGCCTTGTTCTTCCGCCCCGCACAACTCCAGCAGGGCTCACGGAGACAGAAAGGGCTGGACCCGGGCACAGGTGCACATGCTCCACCTGCGAGAACAATTCACTTCCTCCCACCAGAGCGTGAGAGGCAGATTCCAGCAGCGTCCCTCCCCAGCCTGGGCCGCCTGGGCCTCCCGCCCCTGCGTCCCCCGACCCTCTGCTCCCAGGCCCAGAGCTACACCCAGCTCTCCCAGGTGGTCGACTAGGTGCAGTCACGGATCACGTGCGCCTGCTCTGGGCTGGGATGCGAATCCATGTGCCCCGCCCCGCCCCCCCGCGAGTCTCTCAACTGCTCTAGGCCTCAGTTTCCCCTGGACGCCAGGACTCATGGCCCATTCACGTAAACACCGAAGGACCGCCCTTCCGGTAGGGCCCGGCCGCAAGGAAACCCCCGCCGCCGGACCAGCTCCAAAAGGCGCTGGCACCCGGAGCCCACGGGCCCCAGAGCGCAGCGGGCCCGGGGTG